GTTAGGTTAGGTTAGGTAGGTTATGTAGTCGAAAAACAATTAATTCATGAAAATTTGGCTTATTAGGCAAATTGGGCCTCGCATAGTAGGCTGAGAAGTGTGTTCTGGCTACTAGGTACGACATATATATATATATATATATATATATATATATATATATATATATATATATATATGTCGTACCTAGTAGCCAGAACGCACTTCTCAGCCTACTATGCAAGGCCCGATTTGCCTAATAAGCCAAGTTTTCCTGAATTAATATATTTTCCCTAATTTTTTTCTTATGAAATGATAGAGCTACCCATTTCATTATGTATGAGGTCAATTTTTTTTATTAGATTTAAAATTAAAGTAGATATATGACCGAACCTAACCAACCCTACCTAACCTAACCTAACCTATCTTTATAGGTTAGGTTAGGTTAGGTAGCCGAAAAAGTTAGCTTAGGTTAGGTTAGGTAGGTTAGGTAGTCGAAAAAATATTAATTCATGAAAACTTGGCTTATTAGGCAAATCGGGCCTTGCATAGTAGGCTGAGAAGAGCGTTCTGGCTACTAGGTACGACATATATATATATATATATATATATATATATATATATATATATATATATATATATATATATATATGTCGTACCTAGTAGCCAGAACTCACTTCTCAGCCTACTATGCAAGGCCCGATTTGCCTAATAAGCCTAGTTTTCATGAATTAATGTTTTTTCGACAACCTAACCTACCTAACCTAACCTAACCTAACGTTTTTGGCTACCTAACCTAACCTAACCTATAAAGATAGGTTAGGTTAGGTTAGGTAGGGTTGGTTAGGTTCGGTCATATATCTACGTTAACTTTAACTCCAATAAAAAAAAAATTGACCTCATACATAATGAAATGGGTAGCTTTATCATTTCATAAGAAAAAAATTAGAAAAAATATAATAATTCAGTAAAACTTGGCTTATTAGGCAAATCGGGCCTTGCATAGTAGGCTGAGAAGTGAGTTCTGGCTACTAGGTACGACATATATATATATATATATATATATATATATATATATATATGTCGTACCTAGTAGCCAGAACGCACTTCTCAGCCTACTATGCAAGGCCCGATTTGCCTAACAAGCCAAGTTTTCATGAATTAATTGTTTTTCGACTACCTAACCTACCTAACCTAACCTAACCTACCTTTTTAGGCTACCTAACCTAACCTAACCTATACAGATAGGTTAGGTTAGGTTAGGTAGGGTTGGTTAGGTTCGGTTATATATCTACGTTAATTTTAACTCCAATAAAAAAAAATTGGCCTCATACATAATGAAATGGGTAGCTTTATCATTTAATAAGAAAAAAATTAGAGAAAATATATCAATTAACGAAAACTTGGCTTATTAGGCAAATCGGGCCTTGCATAGTAGGCTGAGAAGTGCATTCTGGCTACTAGGTACGACATATATATATATATATATATATATATATATATATATATATATATATATATATATATATATATATATATATATATATATATGTCGTACCTAGTAGCCAGAACGCACTTCTCAGCCTACTATGCAAGGCCCGATTTGCCTAATAAGCCAAGTTTCCTGAATAAATATATTTTCTCTATTTTTTTCTTATGAAATGATAAAGCTACCCATTTCATTATGTATGAGGTCAATTTTTTTTTATTGGAGTTAAAATTAACGTAGATATATGACCGAACCTAACCAACCCTACCTAACCTAACCTAACCTATCTTTATAGGTTAGGTTAGGTTAGGTAGCCGAAAAAGTTAGGTTAGGTTAGGTTAGGTAGGTTAGGTAGTCGAAAAAACATTAATTCATGAAAACTTGGCTTATTAGGCAAACGGGCCTTGCATAGTAGGCTGAGAAGTGCGTTCTGGCTACTACTTACGACATATATATATATGCGAACAAGCCTGAATGGTCCCCAGGACTATATGCGAATGAAAACTCACACCCCAGAAGTGACTCGAACCCATACTCCCAGGAGCAACGCAACTGGTAACTACAGGGCGCCTTAATCCACTTGACCATCACGGCCGTCAAAAGGAAGTGATAGCCAAGGCTATTTGAGCCACTTCCCCGACGGCAACTCGGATGGTGATCTTGGGCATAGCATTTCACCAAATCACCTCATTCTTTGGGGCACACGTGAGGAACACAAATGCGAACAAGCCTGAATGGTCCCCAGGACTATATGCGAATGAAAACTCACACCCCAGAAGTGACTCGAACCCATACTCCCAGGAGCAACGCAACTGGTAACTACAGAGCGCCTTAATCCACTTGACCATCACGGCCGTCAAAAGTGATGGTCAAGTGGATTAAGGCGCCCTGTAGTTACCAGTTGCGTTGCTTCTGGGAGTATGGGTTCGAGTCACTTCTGGGGTGTGAGTTTTCATTCGCATATAGTCCTGGGGACCATTCAGGCTTGTTCGCATTTGTGTTCCTCACGTGTGCCCCAAAGAATGAGGTGATTTGGTGAAATGCTATGCCCAAGATTACCATCCGAGTTGCCGTCGGGGAAGTGGCTCAAATAGCCTCGGCTATCACTTCCTTTTGACGGCCGTGATGGTCAAGTGGATTAAGGCGCCCTGTAGTTACCAGTTGCGTTGCTCCTGGGAGTATGGGTTCGAGTCACTTCTGGGGTGTGAGTTTTCATTCATATATATATATGTAATATATATATATATATATATATATATATTACATATATATATATTGTGACGGTAACGCGTTGGTGTTCGGCTGTTCAAAGCTAGGGGTATGGCCTCGTCACATAGTATAAAAAAAAATAGAAAATCTGGAACTTCGTCTGTGGTAAGGTAAGGAGAAGACACACAAAACACAAGTAAATTTTAACAATGGAATTTTAATTACGTTAAATAAATCAAAACATGAATAAAATGGACTTACAAATTCGTATAATAAAATCAATCAAAATAATAAGAATAATTAAATGACACAATGAAAAGTTACGTTAAGACAAGTGAGCAAAATAACAAGAAGTGCAATATACAAAAAATGAGAGGTGCGGGAATATCGGCTTTAAGCTATCACCTCTCTTAGTACACGTACGCCAAAGCTTACGTCTAGCAGGGAGAAGTGTTAACTGTGTGAAAGCACTGAATATTCTGAGGACTGAGGTCGTGGCGGCCCCAGACATCAAGTAGTATGGTGGGCGAGTGCAGTTGCAGCCAGACCGGCGACCAATCAGCGAGGAGCCGGCAGCAAGACGGGTAGTTTGGCGGTTTGAGTCTGAGCAGGTGTCCCTGGCTGCATACGTTTTGCTCTCTGGCAAACCTTGCTGGTGTTGTTGTCGTTGTTGGACATTTCTTCCATAGTAGTTTTATATAGATGTAACGACGTATTTGTGGAGGGAAGAGCAGGCTCAATCTCTTGAAGGAGATTATTGTCACAATATATATATATATATATATATATATATATATATATATATATATATATATTTATATATATATGCAAAAACGATCACAATAACACTGATCCAAGTATGCGGAAAACCTCACCTGAAAACTAGAGAATGCTTAACGCGTTTTCGGGTTAATTAGCTTTCACCAGAGCAAAATAGAATGAACAAGGGAACGTTGTTGCTGTTGTTTTAGATTTAGCTACTCGGAACGAAACGTTCCAAGTAGCACGGGCTATGGCGAGCCCGTAATGGACTTACCTGGCACAGGAGCGGGTCTGTAACTGGTTCATTACTTTGATTTCTTGAAAAGAAACTTTGTAGGCAGACATTATACCCGCCAGGGCAGGTCACCTGACAACCAAGAACGTAAGAATAAAGGTAACTGCAGAAGGCCTAGAGGTCCATACGAGTAAAGATTAAAGATGAAACCTAAGGATAAAAGGGGTACAAATAAGGATAACTGTACAAAACAAAAACACTGGATAATATATTTAAGTGCCGCTGGATGAAAATAAATAAATAAATAAACACATGTTAAATAAATGCTATATTGTATTGATGTGCTCTATTGAAGCTTATATGGGATCTAATTTGGACATGCCAGGGCTTACATTAAGGCTGTTGTTACAATGCTTGATCAGAGCGGACTCAATCACGTTTCGTTCAAAGAAACCCTTACTTTTAAAAATACATCTTGCACCTCTGAAGTCGATAGAATGATCACGTAAACTGGAATATAAATACAATACTCTGGAGTTCTGGGCTGTACGAAGAGCATAAGAATGTTGATTTAAACGTGAGGAAAGAGATTTACCCGTCTGGCCGATATAAACACATGCACACTCATTACAAGGGATGGAGTACACACAACCTGCTACAGACGAGGGGGAGTTCTTAATTAACATGATCTTAACAGTATTATTATTTTTGAACACTGGGTTAATATTTAAGGTTTTTCAGGGCTGGGGCAAGACTTACATGTCTATCAAAATATGGCAATATCAACGAGTTTTATAATTTTGGTTTAGACTTGGGAGCTTGTTTACAGAACGTCCTTTTTGCTTGAACTAACGCGACATCCAAGACCGATTTTAGGGATTTTAACTTTTTCCCAATTTCAAATATTTTCGTTATTTCTTCATCAAAAAATTCCGGCAGGTAAATTCTACTAATGAAGGTTGATTCGTAGTACCATCCATATATGGTCCAATGGGATGTGATTTTACAAGCTCGGTTATCGCTCAGTCAGCTTGTAGACCTCTCATGGTCTCTTGCAGCGCTTGTGCTGCCTATTGTATTCTCTCGTGTTTTGAAGGGACGAGTTCCTTCATTAGTCCCTGTATTACTGTTGTTGTTTTCTTCTGTAGTTCCTCGTCATCAGCACGACGATGATCAGCACGTCTTCTATGTCAGTGTTGGCTACCCCCAGTGTTGGCTACCCCAGTGGTGGCTACCCCAGTGGTGGCTACCCCAGTGGTGGCTACCCCGGTGTTGGCTACCCCAGTGGTGGCTACCCCAGTGTTGGCTACCCCAGTGGTGGCTACCCCAATGGTGGCTACCCCAGTGGTGGCTACCCCAGTGTTGGCTACCCCAGTGGTGGCTACCCCAGTGTTGGCTACCCCAGTGGTGGCTACCCCAGTGGTGGCTACCCCAGTGTTGGCTACCCCAGTGTTGGCTACCCCAGTGGTGGCTACCCCAGTGTTGGCTACCCTAGTGGTGGCTACCCCAGTGGTGGCTACCCCAGTGTTGGCTACCCCAGTGTTGGCTACCCCAGTGGTGGCTACCCCCAGTGGTGGCTACCCCAGTGTTGGCTACCCCAGTGTTGGCTACCCCAGTGGTGGCTACCCCAGTGGTGGCTACCCCAGTGGTGGCTACCCCAGTGTTGACTACCCCAGTGGTGGCTACCCCAGTGTTGGCTACCTCAGTGGTGACTACCCCAGTGGTGGCTACCACAGTGGTGGCTACCCCAGTGTTGGCTACCCCAGTGGTGACTACCCCAGTGGTGGCTACCCCAGTGTTGGCTACCTCAGTGGTGACTACCCCAGTGGTGGCTACCACAGTGGTGGCTACCCCAGTGTTGGCTACCCCAGTGGTGACTACCCCAGTGGTGGCTACCCCAGTGGTGGCTACCCCAGTGGTGGCTACCCCAGTGTTGGCTACCCCAGTGTTGGCTACCCCAGTGGTGGCTACCCCAGTGGTGGCTACCCCAGTGATGGCTACCCCAGTGGTGGCTACCCCGGTGGTGGCTACCCCAGTGGTGGCTACCCCAGTGATGGCTACCCCAGTGGTGGCTATACCCCAGTGGTGGCTATACCCCAGTGTTGGCTACCCCAGTGGTGGCTACCCCAGTGTTGGCTACCCCGGTGGTGGCTACCCCAGTGGTGGCTACCCCCAGTGTTGGCTATCCCAGTGTTGGCTACCCCCAGTGGTGGCTACCACAGTGTTGGCTACCCCAGTGGTGGCTACCCCAGTGTTGGCTACCCCGGTGGTGGCTACCCCAGTGGTGGCTACCCCGGTGTTGGCTATCCCAGTGTTGGCTACCCCCAGTGGTGGCTACCACAGTGTTGGCTACCCCAGTGGTGGCTACCACAGTGTTGGCTACCCCAGTGTTGGCTACCCCGGTGGTGGCTACCCCAGTGGTGGCTACCCCAGTGGTGGCTACCCCAGTGGTGGCTAACCCAGTGTTGGCTATCCCAGTGTTGGCTACCCCCAGTGGTGGCTACCACAGTGTTGGCTACCCCAGTGGTGGCTACCCCAGTGGTGGCTACCCCAGTGGTGGCTACCCCAGTGGTGGCTACCCCAGTGTTCGCTACCCCAGTGTTGGCTACACCCCAGTGGTGGCTACCCCAGTAGTGGCTACCCCAGTGTTGGCTACCCCAGTAGTGGCTACCCCAGTGTTGGCTACCCCAGTGGTGACTACCCCAGTGGTGGCTATACCCCAGTGGTGGCTACCCCAGTAGTGGCTACCCCAGTAGTGGCTACCCCAGTGTTGGCTACCCCAGTAGTGGCTACCCCAGTGTTGGCTACCCCAGTGTTGGCTACCCCAGTGGCTACCCCAGTGGAGGCAACCCCAGTGGTGGCTACCCCAGTGGTGGCTAAGCCAGTGGTGGCTACCCTAGTGTTGGCTACCTCAGTGTTGGGTACCCCAGTGGTGGCAACCCCAGTGGTGGCTACCCTAGTGTTGGCTACCCCAGTGTTGGCTACCCCAGTGGCTACCCCAGTGGTGGCAACCCCAGTGGTGGCTGCAGTCAGGTCACGACTGTGTGATTGTGTGTGTGTGTGTGTGTGTGTGTGTGTTTTCACCTAGTTGTTTTCACTTAGTTGTGTTTGCGGGGGTTGAGCTTTGCTCTTTCGGCCCGCCTCTCAACTGTCAATTAACTGTTTACTAACTACTACTTTTTTTTTTTCCCCCACACCCCTTCCCTCCAGGAAGCAGCCCGTGACAGCTGACTAACTCCCACGTACCTGTTTACTGCTAGGTAACAGGGGCATTCAGGGTGAAAGAAACTTTGCCCATTTGTTTCTGCCTCGTGCGGGAATCGAACCCGGGCCACAGAATTACGAGTCCTGCGCGCTATCCACCAGGCTACGAGGCCCCCTATGTGTGTACTCACCTAGTTGTACTCACCTAGTTGTGCTTGCGGGGGTTGAGCTCTGTCTCTTTGGTCCCGCCTCTCAACTGTCAATCAACAGGTGTACAGGTTCCTGAGCCTATTGGGCTCTATCATATCTACACTTGAAACTGTGTGTGTGTGTGTGTGTGTGTGTGTGTGTGTGTGTGTGTGTGTGTGTGTGTGTGTGTGTGTGTGTGTGTGTGTGTGTGTGTGTGTGTGTGTGTGTGTGTGTGTGTGTGTGTGTGTGTGTGTGTGTGTGTGTGTGTGTGTGTGTGTGTGTGTGTGTGTGTGTGTGTGCGCGTGTGTGCGTGCGTGCGTGCGTGCGTGCGTGCGTGTGTGTACCGACACATTAACCCCATCACCGGCATCACCAGGGCAACACGACCCTTGTCGTTTACACAAGCAGTCGTCTTGGAAGCCGTAAATCCCGACTATAATCATAAGTCTCCGAGGCGTGTGAGGGAGTGGGAGGGGGGGGGTAGAGGAGGGGGGGGAGGCTGGAACATTACTGCCTCACACCTCTCATAATCACTCATCATTTTGTCGTGCAGCGTAATTAAACCCTCGCCCTCATAAGTCACGGCTTCCAATAACGCGCAAACACCACCACGTATATCACACCTCCAACTCTGGCCAGGGTGTCAACGCTTGCACTGAGCAGTGCACAATGTTCAACGCTGGCCAGGGTGTCAACCCTTGTACTGAGCAGCTCTCCAAGTTCAATCCTTACAAAGTAGCAAATTTTTCTTTTATTTGCAGGTAATCAATCAGTTTTAGTCTCTAAAAAGGTCCCAAGAAGAGAGAGAGAGGAGAGAGCGCACGCAACAACCAAGTACTTATAGTGTTTCTCTCTAGATTGCCTCACCGAGGAGCTGAAAGAATAACTGGCTGCTATTTAGTCTCTCGTAGTGTCAGCGAGCCTACAACCCATGTCTTTCAGGAAATCCATTGACCAAGGGTCTGAGATACTATGGAAATAAATGTGTCTTGATGCCCTATTTCCTTTCTCCTATTGGATTTGAACCTAATGCATAGTGCCACAGCGTTCATGACCAGCACCAAAGGAGAGATATCAGGCTGGGTATAGATAGATACGTGTCTCCAAGGGCTATTGCGATCCCATTTGGGTGATGCGCAGAACTATTAGAATTTGAGCCTGAACAAATCACGGTTCTCTACTGTGCGTTTGGCAGTGAAAAGGCTGCTCTTGAAAGAGCTTGAATGGTCTCCAGGAATGGAACTCTATGAACTGACCAGGGCTCGAACCCTCCCGTTGCCTGAGATCACCCTCCTGGCATACAAAGTACGGTAGCTACTTCACCAGTAATCGTGTAAGATCATTGCTGGTATGGCACTTGAGGCACAGTGAAGTTAACGACATCATTAAGAGGAGCCTCACCACAGCTGAATGCCCAGCTGAGAGAGAGCCCCGCTACCTAACGCCCCGTAACTCTGCTGCTCCTATTGGTCGCCCAGATGGTATCACAGTGAACCCCTGGAAGAATAGCAAGCAGTTGGTATGGGACTACACGTGAGTAACAATCCTGGCTAACACCTACATTGACTTCAGTGTTGCACATCCGGGTGGCGCTGCCATTCGGATGTGCAATGGCGTCAACACCTGTACTGTCCCTTTGCTTCTGAGACACTCGGCGCCTGGGGTAAGAGTGGCACCAGTTTTTTGAAGAAACTGGGTTTTGGGCAAATTCAAACAACAAGAGACCCTACAGCTGCCCGCTTCTTTTTCCAGCACCTCAGCGTGGCGATACAGACAGGAAATGCACACCGCAATCAGGGCTCCTGTCCGCCATCTGGAGAGCTGGAGGAAGTCGACAACTTATGATAATCAACTTCGTACCTTATCTATAATTCTTTGTTTGTAATAAAGTTTAAATAAAATAAAAACTTACATATATAAGGGGGCGGGGGAGAAGACAGTATGAGCCAACGCATGAAGCAACCCGACTAGAAGAGGAGAGGATGTGCAGCACCAGGGGTGCTGCACATCCTCTTCTTCGTGGCTTGAGGGTCCCTACAAACAACCCAAGTGGAATCATATATATATATATATATATATATATATATATATATATATATATATATATATATATATATATATATATATATATATATATATATATATGCGCTCATTAATAATAATGTTGAAATATATAATAAACATCCCAAGAATAACAGTGCCGTTGATAAGTTATAATCATAAATTATGCTTCGTAAATATAAGTCATTAGTCTCAAATATTTTCAAAAGGTTGCTGCAAACTTCCAGTGACGATGAGTTATTACATTAGTGTTGCAAGCAATAAAAGGAAAGTTTAGAAAATGTAAACCATTGGCCAATATCAACATGAGGACTGTTTACCAGTTAATCAAACCAGGTAAAACTGCGTCCAACTGTGATGAGTCTGTCAGTCCACAGTGGGACATGAAGCGGAGATACTGGGCATCTTTGTTCAAGAGGAACTGATAAATATGTGATCCATCAATCTGTTGTGCTGCTGGCTGTCAGCTCCGCGGTAAAGGTACAGTCAGTCATGTGATAATCGATCACAATCAACCCAACGGATGGTGGACATATTAATAACCAAAGTGAGGCTCTGAGGATCAATATCTCGACCGTTATATCCAACCCATGTTTCACCAGGACAAATGTCCCTTGCAACAGTCCTACTTCGTTAGTGTCTTTGCAACTGTCTCGCGCTTCGTTAGTGTGTCTGCAACTGTCCCGTTTCGTTAGTGTAATTGCAAATGTAATTTTCCACTTACGGATCTCCACGCGATGGTTCGGCGGTATTGGCGTTGCCGCTGAGTTCCCTGGCAATGATTTCGCTTCTTCAGTGCAGTGACTGATGGGACCAGTGATGATCACTGTCTCTGTTCTCCCATACAGTGACAGGAAGGACCAAGGGTGATCACTGTCCCTCCCTCACAGTGACAGACAGGGCCAGGGGTGATCACTGTCCCTGCCTCACAGTGACAGACAGGGTCAGGGGTGATCACTGTCCCTCCCTCACAGTGACAGACAGGGTCAGGGGTGATCACTGTCCCTCCCTCACAGTGACAGACAGGACCAGGGGTGATCACTGTCCCTCCCTCACAGTGACAGACAGGGTCAGGGGTGATCACTGTCCCTCCCTCACAGTGACAGACAGGACCAGGGGTGATCACTGTCCCTCCCTCACAGTGACAGACAGGACCAGGGGTGATCACTGTTCTCCCTCACAGTGACATAAAGGGTCAGGGACGAACTAAGCAATAATATCATTACAAATGCAGTTTCCTCCAGTTTAGAGCCGATAAATGCACAAACGTTTCAACCATTGAGTTTACTACTAACCCCCCTCTGCCCCCCCCCCCCCCCCCGAACAATGCAGCTTGATCTTCTGATTTGCCACAACATACCAATTGAGACGTGCTAGTTGAGAGGGCAGGTTGTTAGTGAATCAGGTGATCCATGACGTCACGCCACTTTAAGGCTCCATAACGGAACTGCCTTTTCATAAATTTCCTAATTGTTAGAGACTCCACAGTTTGATTGATCAACTGAGGATTAAAATACTCGGGCCTGGGTAATGTGCGTCGTTTCGCAGCTTATGTCGGTCGTTAAAACTTGTCGTGCTGCTCAAGTTGGTAATTAAGACAAGTCTTCCAAGACAAGCTTATGAGATTTTCATATATATTAATTGCTGAGTTTTATTAACAAACTCGCATCAGCGCCTCAGTAGCGCGATTTTACTAACTGCGTGACTGAGCACATATTACAATGAACTTTATTCACAATGGCACTTTATTCACTATTAATGAAACTTTTGTGTTTAAATTGTCTTCCTTGTAAAATATAAATGTTAAATCAAAGATTTGTAGTTAATTAATGAGGTATGATGCAAGTAAATACAAAAAC